GGGAGACCCCAGACCCAATTATCGCAGTCAGACCCCCACCCCAAACCCAGCCCGGCCTTGTCGGGGCGGCCCCCGGGCCCCGCCGCCTGCAGAGACCCCAGACCCAATTACTGCAGGGAGACCCCAGACCCAATTATCGCAGTCAGACCCCCGCCCCAAACCCGGCCCGGCCTTCTTGGGGCGGCCCCCGGGCCCCGCCGCCTGCGGAGACCCCAGACCCAATTGGAGCGATGAGACCCCAGACCCAATTACCACAGGGAGACCCCAGACCCAATTACCACAGAGAGACCCCAGACCCAATTACCACAGGGAGACCCCAGACCAAATTATCCCAGTCAGACCCCCACCCCAATTATAGCACTGAGACTTCGGACTCAATTGGCCCAATTATAGCAGTGAGACCCCAGACTCAATTCTGGGGCCAGCCCTGAGACCCCCCTGATTACCCCAGTGAGACCCCAGACCCAATTGGACAGGTTATAGCAGTGAGACCCCCACCCAAATTGTGGGGTCAGCCTTGAAAATCCCCCTAAAATATCACAGGGAGACCCCCACCCAAATTACGGCATCACCCCCGAGACCCCCGCCCCAATTATAGCAGTGAGACCCCAGACTCAATTCTGGGGTCAGCCCTGAGACCCCCCTGATTACCCCAGTGAGACCCCCACCCCAATAACACAGAGACCCCACCCCAATTTATGGGGTCAGCCTCGAAAACCCCAATAGAGTATCACAGGGAGACCCCCACCCAAATTAGAGCGGGGAGACCCCCCCGAGACCCCCGCCCCAATTAAAATGCGGAGACCCCCACCCAAATTACGGGGTCACCCTTGGAAATCCCCCTAAAATGTCACAGTGGGACCCCACCCCAAATAACACAGGGAGACCCCCACCCCAATTGTGGGGTCACCCTTGGAAATCCCCCTAAAATATCACAGTGAGACCCCCGACTCAATTGGGGGGGACAGCCCTGAGACCCCCGCCCCAATTACAATGCGGAGACCCCCACCCAAATTACGGGGTCACCCTTAGAAATCCCCCTAAAATAACACAGGGAGACCCCCACCCAAATTACGTCAGGGGTGAGACCCCCCCAAAAAAACCCCCCAGGACCCCTCCCCAAAAACCCCAAACCCCCCAAAACCCCCGGGACCCCTCCCCAAAATACCCAAAGCCCCCGGGACCCCTCCCCAAAAAACCCCAAAGCCCCCCAAAACCCCCGGGACCTCTCCCCAAAATACCCAAACCCCCCGGGACCCCTCCCCAAAATACCCAAACCCCCCGGGACCCCTCCCCAAAATACCCAAACCCCCCGGGACCCCTCCCCAAAGCCCCCAAAAGCCTCAAGACCCCCCCCAAAACACACCAAACCACCCCAAAATCCCCCGGGACCCCTCCCCAGAGCCCCCAAATCCCCCAAAACCCCCCCAAAAAAACACCAACCCCTCCCCAAACCCCTCCCGGTCCCCCCCGGTCCCCCCCGGTGCCGCCGCCCCCCCTGACCGTGTCGGCGTTGCGCTCGTTGCCCGCCGCCAGGGCGGAGCGCGAGGACATGGTCCCGGCCCGGGGGGGGCGGCGGCGCCGCCCGGGTCCCGCTGCCGGCGCCGCTCCCGTTACCGGCGGGGCCGGGCCGGGGCGGCCATGGCGGCCATGGCGCCGGAACCGGAAGTGGGTGGGTGGGGCTTCGCCTGTAGAGGGAGCGTGCGCAGTGAGGGCGGGCGGGTTAGCCACGCCCACGGCGAGGAGAGGACCAATCAGAACGCGCCGCTCCGGCATGGAGACAGACGGGCACGCCCCCAGCCCCGGGGGCGTGGCGGGGAGCGGGAGGGGCGCTGTGATTGGCTGAACGCTGGCCAATGGGAAGGGAGAGCGCGGTTTAACCCCTGCGGGGGCGGGAGGGGTCACGTGGGGGGGGTCACACCTGGAGGGGTCACCTGGGGTCACACCTGGGGTCACACCTGGGGTCACACCTGTGGGGTCACACCTGGGGTCACCTGGGGTCACCTGTGCCACCCGTGTCCCCTCCGTGTCACACCTGAGGTCACCTGGGGTCACCTGTGCCACCCCCGCTGTCCCCATGGTCCCATCCCGGTGTCCCCCGGTATCCCGCCGGTGTCCCCGGTGTCCCCGGTGTCCTCCCGGTATCCCCCCGCTCCCATCTCAGTATCCCCGGTGTCACCGGTGAGCCCCCCGGTATTCCCCCGGTATCCCCCCGGTGTCCCCGGTATCCCCCCGGTCCCATCTCAATGTCCCCGGTCCCATCCCGGTATCCCCCGCTGTCCCCGGTATCCCCCCGGTGTCCCCCCGGTCCCATCTCAATGTCCCCGATCCCATCCCGGTATACCCCAGTGTCCCCGGTATCCCCCGGTGTCCCCCCGGTCCCATCTCAATGTCCCCGGTCCCCCCGGTCCCGCCCCCCGCCCCCCCCGCGGGTCCCCCCCGCTCTTCCCCTCCCGGTGCCGGTGCCCGAGCGGAACCGGGGCTGACCCTGCCCGGCCGGGGAGGCCCCGGCGGGGCGGCGCTTCCTCAGGAAACCCCCGGGCAGGGCAGCGCCGCCGCGGCGGCCCCGCCAGAGCCGCCGGTGACACCGTCAGAGCCACCGGTGACACCGCCAGAGCCGCCGGTGTGAGCGGAGCTCCTCCGGTGTGACCGCCAGAGCCGCCGGTGACACCGCCAGAGCCGCCGGTGACACCACCAGAGCCGCCGGTGTGAGCGGAGCTCCTCCGGTGACACCGCCAGAGCCGCCGGTGTGACCGCCAGAGCCGCCGGTGACACCGTCAGAGCCACTGGTGACACCGTCAGAGCCACCGGTGACACCGCCAGAGCCGCCGGTGTCCCCGCCGCCACCGCCGCCACCGCCACCGGAGCCACCGGAGCCCGCCGGCCGCGTCCCCGCCGTTTCCCCGCTGCTCCAGGTGCCATCCCGGTGCCCCGCTCCCTCCGGTGCCCCCGGTGTCCCCAGTGCTCCCGGTGTCACTGCTGCTCCGGTGCCCCCGGTGCTCCGGTGTCCCTGTTGCCCCCGCTCCCCCCGGTGTCCCGGTTCCCTCCGGTGTCCCCGTTGTTCCCGGTGCTCCGGGTGCCATCCCGGTGTCCCCGCTCCCCTCGGTGTCTCCGCTTCCCTCGGTGTCCCCGTTCCCTCCGGTATCCCCGGTATCCCCCGCTCCCCCCGGTGTCTCCGCTCCCCCCGGTGTCCCCGTTCCCTCCGGTATCCCCGGTGCCCCCGGTGCCTCCCCCCGGCCATGCCGCTGCTCCGGAGACCCCCGGGCGGGCCGGGCCCGGCGGCGGCGGCGGCGGCGGCAGGAGCGGGCGGTGGCCGTGAGGACCGGGACCCGTTCTCCGCCAACCCCGAGGGTCGCCGCCGCCGCCGCGCCACCCTGGCCGGGCTGGTGGGGCTGGGGCAGCTCGGGGGGCACCGGGAGCAGCTCGGGGGGCACCGGGAGCAGCTCGGGGGGCACCGGGGGCAGCTCGGGGCTCCGGCCGGCCGCGGCCGCCGCTGCCGGGACGCCGGCGGGCCCCGGGGGCGGCGGCGCTCGGAGGACGCGGGGCTGCCGCGGCGGGCGGCGGAGGAGGCGGCGGGCGGCGGCAAGCGCGGCTCGCTGCTCCGCCTGGCCCTGGCGAGCTGGGCACCGCGCGGCGGCACCGAGAGACCGGCACCGGCGGAGGCACCGGCGGGACACGGCGGGGACGCGGCGGGAGCGCGGCCCGGCAGCGGCGGAGGAGGGGACGGGGGCGGCGGCGGCGGCGGAGGGGACGGCGGAGGGGACAGGGGGCCGCTGTCCGGTGAGTGGGGACAAGGGAGCACCGGGGACACCGGGGGGACAGCGGGGGGCACCGGGGGACAGGGGGGGCTTGGGGACACCGGGGGGACAGATGGCCGCTGTCCGGTGAGCGGGGGCGGAGGGGACACCGGGGGACACCGGGGGACCAAGGGGGGACACCGGGGGGACAAGGGGATGGGGACACCGGAGAGGGGACACGGAGATGGGGACACGGGGACAGGCGACACGGGGATGGGGACACGGGGATGGGGACACGGGGATGGGGACACGGGGATGGGGACACCGGGGACAGGCGACACGGGGATGGGGACACGGGGACCCGGGGATGCGGGGATGGGGACACGGGGTCCTGGGGACACCGGGGACAGGCGACACCCGAGAGGGGACAGAGGGACAGGGGACACCGGACAGGGGATGGGGACACGGGAATGGGGACACAGGGACACCGGACAGGGCACACGGGGATGCGGGCGGGGCACACGGGGGTGGTGCCACCGGGACAGGCGACACGGGGATGGGGACACACGGGGATGGGGACACGGGGATGGGGACACGGGGACAGGCGACACGGGGATGGGGACACGGGGATGGGGACACGGGGACCTGGGGACACGGGGACCTGGGGACACGGGGTCCTGGGGACACCGGGGACAGGCGACACGGGGATGGGGACACGGGGATGGGGACACGGGGACCTGGGGACGCGGGGATGGGGACACGGGGTCCTGGGGACACCGGGGACAGGCGACACGCGTGCCACGGACCCCGCGCGCCGCCCGCAGTGCTGGAGATCCTGGAGCTGATCCAGCGGCGGGAGCTGGTGGCGGCGGACGCGCAGATCATCGCGCTGGAGGCCGAGTGCGCGCTGGCCCCGTCGCGCCCGCCGTCCCCGGGACCCCTCCCCGCCTCGGCCGCGACCCCTCCGCCGTCGCCGGGACCCCTCCCCGCCTCCCCCGCCTCGGCCGCGCCCCCTCCGCCGTCGCCGGGCCCCGGCGGCGGGCGGCGGGCGCGGGACGTGGCGCTGCTGTACCGGGCGCTGCTGGCGCAGCTCTGGGCCGTGGTGGGCGAGTCGGTGGCCGCGGGGCGAGCGGCGGCGCCGCTGCGAGCCGTGGTGGCCGTGCTGGAGCAGGAGGAGGCGGCGGACGCCCGGTGCCCGCCCGGTGCCCGGCCGGGGCGGCCGCGGGGGCTGCGGCGGCGCTGGCACGAAGCGGTGGCCCGGGCGGCCGGCGAGCGGCTGGCGCAGGTGGCCCCGGGCGGGGGTCTGGGGGCCCGGCTGGCCGCGCTGGCCGCCCGGGTGGTGGGCGACCTGGGGGTCGTGCGGAGCCGCGTGGCGCCCGCCTATCCCCCCGAGTACGGCGCGCTCGGCGTCTACGCCCGCGGCTACCACCGGGCGCTGGCGGAGCAGCTGCGGGCGCTGGCGCAGAGACCCCTGGCAGTGCCCGACCTGTACCTGCTGCTCGACTGGCACAGCAACGCCTACCCCAGGTCAGAGGCGCGGGGACCCCCGAAATGTGACCCAGATTAACGCCCGCCCCCGAAATCTGTCCCAAATCAAAGCCCGCCCCCAAAATCTGCCCCAGAGTAACGCCCGCCCCGGGTGAGAGGCGTGGGGACCCCCAAAATGTGACCCAAAGTAACGCCCGCCCCCAAATTCTGACCCAAAGTAATGCCCGACCCCAAAATCTGACCCAAATTAATGCCTACCCTAGGTGAGGCAGGCAGGGACCCCCAAAATCTGCCCCACCCACCCCAGGGGGTGTCAGCCCCCCAACATGCATCCCCCCTTGGCCCTGGGGTGTCCCAGGGTGTCCCAGGGTGCCCCAGGGTGTCCCAGGGTGTCCCCAGGGTGTCCTGGGATGTCCCAGGGTGTCCCCGGGGTGTCCCCAGGGTGTCCTGGGATGTCCCAGGGTGTCTCTGGGGTGTCCCAGGTTGTCCCAGGGTGTCCTGGGGTGTCCCAGGGGTGTCCCTGGATGTCCCCAGGTTGTCCCAGGGTGTCCCAGGGCGTCCCCAGGGTGTCCCGGGGTGTCCCCAGGGTGTCCCAGGGTGTCCCAGGGTGTCCCGGGGTGTATCCCAGGGTGTCCCTGGGTGTCCCCAGGGTGTCCCCAGACCCCCACCGAGGCTGTCCCCCCCCTGTCCAGGGAGGTTTTGGGGCACCCCGAGGTGGGGGCTCTGCTGCGGGCGCAGGACCTGGGGCCCCTGCTGCCCCCCGAGACCCAGCGGGACCTGGAGAGCTCCTGCATCGCCGCCGTCAAGGTGGGGACACGGGGGACACGGGGGCGAGGGGGCGGCAGGGGACACGGTGCCACCCCCGCCGTGTCCCCGGGGTGTCCCCCGGCTGTCCCCTCGCCAGGCCAAGGTGGAGGTGGCGCTGGCGCAGGAGCTGCAGCTCAGCGAGGACGCGTGGCCCGAGGATGTCACCAGCCAGGACATGGAGGAGGGGCTGGCCACGCGTGTCATCGGGGTACGGCCGTGTCACCCCGTGTCCCCGTCGCCCGGGGGTGGCCCTTGGGGACGCGGCTGCGACCCCACAGAGGGGACAGGGGTGGCCCAGGGGACAGCGTGGCCGTGGCTGTGTCACCATGGGTCGGGGGACACCGTGGCCGTGTCCCCACACCTGTGGTGGCCTTGTCCCCACAGTTCTGGTGACATTCTGGCCACGTCCCCACACCTGTGGTGGCCGTGTCCCCACACCCACAGTGGCCTTGTCCCCACACCCATGGTGGTCGTGTCCCCACACCTCAGGGGACATGGTGGCCATGTCCCCACGCCCACGGTGTCCCTGTCCCCACACCTACAGTGGCCATGTCCCCACGCCCACGGTGTCCCTGTCCCCACGCCCATGGTGGCCTTGTCCCCACACCTCAGGGGACACCGTGGCCACGTCCCCACACCTACAGTGGCCGTGTCC